GGGATATAATGTATAGGCCTGGTGGGTTCAGGGTCTTTCATCTTACATCTGCCTGCGTGCAGTTTGGAGGTGCAAGATACCTGAGCGTGTAATGTTAATTTTACCTGTGATCCTTTGAATAAATCAGCACTGTTTTGAAGTTACTTGGACTGTCTCATCTCTCAGAGTTAGCAATGGTAACAAGAACCAAAGACCAACAATGAGTGTAAATATTGTAAATAAGAGGAAGAGGCTAGGAAGAAAAATGAGGAGCTGAGCATGTATGTTCAAACACACACACTATGAGTAAGTGAAAAAAAAAACACTGACAGGTTAAAGCAGATATTTAGAACTGTTTCAAAACAGTTCAATCACAACTTTAAGACAAAGTGGAAAAGAGCAAATATAAGTATCACAAAAGAGAGAAAAGAACAGGGTTTTGGTAAGGGAAAGATTTGAGTGTTTTTTTCTGGAAGACACTAAAGGGCTGGTTGTTGCTGGGCCTTGGGATGGGATTGCATGATCAGGCTAAGAGCTTACAGATGTGATATCTTCTTGCATGTCAAGCTATCACGCCTTGGATAGAAACAAACAACACTGCACTTCACAGAACTGGACAAAAGGATCAATGGGAAGAGACACAACAAGCCGACATGAAAAAACTAGCAACAACGAAGCCTGACAGTTGCTTTGCCTCACATTGCCTTTGTCTGGACCAGCCAGGTTGAAAAAATGGCAGTTGAACTCACAGCACAGACTCCAGCCAATGGCCGACTAACATGCACGTTCTACCCCTGCGTGACAGAAATAACTCCACCTACCAGCAGCTGGCGGTATCTGTATTCGATCAGAAAGGGAAAGTAGAAGAGCTGGACTACAGAAATACAAGCATAAACAAATCATGTTTATAACTGCTTCTAATCAAGAACATGTCTGATAAGAAGTTGTAAATGACACTGCCATTCTCTGCCCTTAGTCTTCACGCTGTGGAAGAAGAAAGTCGGTCATGGAGGTGAAAAACAAGGAGAAACTGCACTAAATGTGTGAAATCATGAATACAACAGTGACAGGCTGAAGGAGCTTTGCTAAACATTTCTCCACTATTGCACTGATTCCCTTAGTTGAACAACCAGAGTGGTCTCTCTCACCGATGAGGTCTGACCAGTCGATGCTGAACACACTGAATCAGCTTAAAAGCCGCTGACAGGTTCCGACTAGTGCCAACAACGCGGGACATTGAGAACAAGCCTGGAGATACACTCACTGACAACCTGATGGTGATGACTGTCAATCGTCGGCTTGGTGTGTCACAACTATAGTTGCTTTCCTCAACGAAAATTATGACTAAATATCCTCGTCAATGAACCTTTATCGCGTGACGAAGATGAGACAAGACGCAACGAAAATGCTGGTCGTGTGACAATGACTATAACTAAATGTATAATGCAATATTGTTGACGAAAAAAACGAGACTAAATGTGGTTCACAAAATAAAAACTATGCCAAAATGTCTCTTTATTTTCGTTGACCAAAACGAAGTGAAATGTTATAACGTTATTTCGTCTCGTTCAGTCGCGTTATTATTATTATTTTGCAGTATTTCTGTTTCCTGTGTTTCGCTTCAGGGGCCGCATCAAGCCGCACTGCGCAGACGCAGGCGACGTCACTTCCTTAAGCCCCACTCGCGGTATTATTTAGAAGACGTCAACAGATGGGGAGAAATGTGGCCACAAAATCACACAACATGTGTATTGGATGTATTCTTGAGTCTATAAGTTAACAATAATATAATAAGATAACCTTGTTTGAAATGGGTTTGGCTCAAAGAAACTTTTGGTTTCATCTATACTACTAGGTACTTGTACTATATTGACTAGGTTAAATAGAATTGCATTGCTAAAGAGACTAAAATACAATTTTCACTGACTAAAACTAGACTAAATGTCATCAGTTTTCGTCGACTAAAACTATACTAGACTAAAAAGAGTATGAATGTGACTAAAACTAATAAAAACTAAAATGACAGCTTCACACAAAGACTAGACTAAAACTAAAATTAAAACAGGCTGCCAAAAACAACTCTAGTCACAACCCCCCCCAAAAAAGTAGGATGAAAGAAGTGCTCTGAATTGAAACACAGAGCAACAGGGTTTGCTTGTAGAGAAGCTAAGATGCAAAAACTGACAGAGATTGACATAAAGACAGAGAAAGGGAAGAAAGAGCAACAGAGCAGTAAACAACTCTAGGAATAAAACGCATTTTAATAAAGCTTTTCTGCCTTTTTACAGGCTGTGGGAAATAGCAGCGACCTTAATCTCTCACTAGCTTAAATCTTACATTTCTATCTGAAGGATACAAATCACCTATATGATTATTCATGTGCCTGCATTTGTGTGTGTCTATAAAGTCCTCATACTATTACCAGTCTGGTTCTTTCAACAGCACCAACATTAAAGCAGTGTATTAGTCTATGGAAGCCATGGGACTGGATGTGGATTGACCATCATGACCTACAGTAGGACCACTGTGGTTACAGGCTATTCTACAGTTAAGACATACTACACCCATTTGAAGTCCACATTCATCACAGATTTTCTTGGAGTGAAAAACACTCCAAGAAAACACATGTTGCACCCATGCTTTTAAACTAAATAGTTGGTCAAAGTGAAGCAAGGATCTAAAGATTTAAAATCTGTTTTATGATTAAGCTGACAGTTTGGGTAGGCATTTCCATGTTAACCTTACTTTTTAACATCTGAGTGGCTTTGATAATAGTTGTAACTGGATTTGTTTAAACTCTGCATGTGGTAATGATGCCCTTTAGACTCCACTGTAAAGTTGTTTAATGCCCTGCAGCCACACATCTTAGTAAATAGGCTAAATGTTACTACAACCAAGGAAAATGACAGGCAAACTGCAAAAATAAGAACCATGCTGTAGAAAAACAGAACAGATTTTTCTTATCCACAAAGACATACAGTCTAGGTTGACTGGCGACTCTAAAGTGCTCGAAGGAGTGAGTGTGAGTATGTGTGTCTGTCTGTCTCTAGGCACCAGCCCTGTGATACACTGGCGACCTGTCCAGGGTGTACCCCTGTCAGCTGGGACGGGCTCCAGCCCCCCATGACCATATTCAGGATAAGTGAAATAGCTAATGGATGGAAGGAAAGTCTTATCCACACTGTCATTTCACCACCTGTGCACAAGCAGATCTGGGTACAGGCAAGGAACAACATGGCAAAGATCATTCGCTGGTGAACAACAGAATGCTGTTTAGAAGCAACAAACTGCTATGTTAGAGACTCACACAGCACAAAAGCCAAACGGGAACTTTTGCACAGTGCTGTTTCAGCCCACTATTCCAGGCTCTCTGTGCTGACCTTCCCTTCTTTCACGTCTCCTAATGAGATTAATTAAGCCAGTCTAGAGTTTGTTTAATGAGGCCTCAGTGGCCTGAAGCATGGAAAGGACAGACGCTGGGAAACACAAGCCTCAGATTCCAAATAAAATCACCTAAACTTCAAAGGGGTCTTATAAAAAGGTGGTTTAAAATGTAAAACCTTACCTATAGGGCAGCAGGACACTTTGGGAGAATGTCTGGCACTAAAAGTGGCACTATTACCAGCGTAAACTTGAGCATGGCATCCCCTTTCTCCTCTGAAAGGGCCTTTGAGCTGACCGCACTCTAACAAAACTTTACCATTGCAGGTTATACTGTGACTGATGGCTGCATCTTTGTGGTGACCCTATACAATGTATCAGCTCATAAATGATTTTACTGCTTTGGCACTGCCTTACTTAACACAGTATTGAGGAAACTGGAGAAAAAAGGAAACCTTGAATGGCTATTTGTCAACTCTTACCAGGCAGTTACTTGGGCTGAAATCACACTGGTATTAAAACAATCGGCAACATCTGAACAGGAACTGTATCCACATACTGTGCTTATTGCAATGATACATATACAATAATCTAACAAACTAGTTATGCCTAAAAGTGATGCAATGGAATGTGAACAGTGAGACAGGTGGCAAAAAGACTGAACCCACTTCCCAAACTGTCATCAGCTACTCCATGACAAATGGTTCCTAATACACTGGTAGTTTGACTTTTCACAAACAGATCAAGGGCCATTTGGTCAAAGCAGCACCAGCACTTTACCTCAGTCTAAATCAGAATGCCTGATCCCCATTTGTTTGGCTATACAGACTCATCGGCCACATAAACTTCGCACCATGGAGATTGTAAAGGCACACAAGTTCTGCTGTACTGGTGTCATGCAGAGGCTTACTCTGAGAAAAATACAATATCATGAATAGATGTAAACATAAGCTCTGACTGGGTGGATTATTACAAGATATACAAATAGACTTTTTTGACATACAAAAAACAATTGTTGTCATTAGTGTGCAGTCTTACCTATTTGCCTCTCAAGATCTGCTGCTTCATCCGGAGTGGCCCTGGGCAGCACCCCTGGGTCACTGAAGCTGGTTCTCAGCAGTGTCCCCAGTACAAACAGAAACAGCACACCACCTATCACTGGGATGGCTGTGGTTAACTGCAGAGCCAGGAACGGACAACTGGTAGGACAGGAAGAGAGGGGGAGAAAAAGATAAATAAGCAACAAACAAGCAAGAAACATGTGGTTTTCTCTGACTGTTGAGCAATAAAAAACTGGGCGTTCAAGAAGTTGAGAGTTTAAAGGGCAAACATCAGCTGGGAGCCCTGAGGGGAAGGAGTCCGTCTTCTCAAATACATACTGCTCTTCTTATTATACATATTAGTACACAACACAGAGTCTATTACAAGTCTGAATGCCAGCTGAGCAAGCCCTGAGGTTGAGAGAGTGTTAATGTGTGATTGTTGCTTTATGATAAGTAAATGGATATAACCGCTTAACAGACAAACAGGTGCACACGAGGGTCAGGCCCCTGTGTTGTAATTTGCTGTAATGAGACAATTTAGCATAATTCCATTAAACATCCAATGGTGCAGGTGGTTGTTAGAGTAATCGCATTTAGTCCCAGAGGTGTGGGGTACTGGCTGCTGTATCCTATTTCAGTTGTTAGTCGCTGGTCTACTGGACTGGATCTGCCATTCGAGACCAAGTAAACAAACATGTGGTAACCATTTGTTTGGAGGGATGCTGTTGAGAAATGCAAAACTATACTGAGTTGAGCAAAGCTTCTCAGTGAAAGCTGCATTTATACAAAGGCTTTTTCATCTGTTCATCTATTTCAATAAAGTGCCAAAGGGAAACAGATTCTGTAAATCACACTTTTACGTATCTATAAACTTTTATCAACAGAAATATACTTGTTTCAAATAACTTTCAGTAGCAGATGTTAAAGACAATTCGAATCCTTTAAATTGGATCATTTCCAAATTGTCTTCACTTAGTCCAGGTACAGCTGATTAATTGCTGACCTCTGTAGGGGAAGCGCCATTTGTTCGGAAGATGCTAGACTACACTGAATAATGAACAACACTTGCATTACTGCCATTCACTAAGTGCATCACACTGGACTCCATGATTGACTGCAATTTAAAAAGTAATGCAGAGAAAAACATGACTATAGATCATCAACAGACTAAAAATGCTTAAAGCTGAACTGACTGCAATAATTAATTGATTAATGGACAGTGGCCATTGTTCAACTGCAATTTTGGGACTAACACAAATGTTACATAATTTACAGAAATTAACAAGCAGCCCTTCTTTAAATTTAGCAAAGCACTGCCATTTTTTTAAAAACATGTACAGTGCACAGGTTCCTGATGGGCATTATATTATTATGACACCATCTCACCAGCCTTCAGATGGTAACACCATGGGAGGACAGTTGCATCCGCTGATCTATGCCAACACCAGTTAATGTGACAAACCAAGCTAAACTATATTTAGGATTTCCATGTAGGGTTCCAACAATAATAATGGAAGGGGTGGATGTAAATACAGACCTGGAGCAGTTATGTAGGTTATATTCACATTACATGCTGAAGCAGACCAAATCCAATTTTGTTCTGATCTGGGGGGGTTGGGGGATTTCAAAATGGAACATTAGGGCACACAATGTGAATGTTAACGATAGGTTGTGATAGTCCTGTTTTGAATCCAGTTCCAAGTTGGTAAAATACTCAGCTTTGTAAAGCTTCACGGCTCTGTTGAGTTTACACTGTTTGTCCTCTCTGACAATACACAACTTGCCCAAAAAAAAAAAAAAAAGACAAATAGGTGAAACTCAGCAATATTGTTGTGTTATGCTTATTGTATGTATACATAAGTTAAATGAGCCAATTGCAAAATGCAGTACTTTTGGGAGGGTACTCAGGACAGAACAACAAGTCCTAAAAATTCATCTAGTGTCCACAATGTTAAAATAGGAACTGGTGTGTTTATAGTGCATTATGAACTTGACAACTTTCAACTAATAATATTTTCACTGTCGTTTTTGAGCTTCTGCAGCTGCAGCGCAGTCGCCCGGTGAGCAGCAAACACAGGACAAGGAAACATGAGTGAGAACAGGGTTGATGAAACCCACAGAGCAGTGACAAAATACACTACAACCCTTCAGCTCAGCACAAAGTCCATGATTTAGGTTTGATAGTTAGTAGTTTCTGTTAGTGTCAGTGGCAGACTGCCTGGTAAATGGTCTATAAGCACAAATAAAACGGCCAATTGTGATATTAGCATGGTTAACAAAAGATAGATTCCTAAATATTTTATCTTTTGTTATGCAAGGTCAAATTTGTTGCTATGCTAAATGAAGTTAAACACTTTTTTAAACTGACAAACTTAATCTAATAAGAAATAATGAACATAATCAGATTCAATACAGGATTCAAAAGGGGACTTGGAACTGGATTCAGATTCCATAAAATGCTACTGAACCCCATCCCTAGTGAATGTAGCCTTATATTTGCTAATGTGTTAACTAGAGATCTAGCATCATCTACACTCTCTGCTGTGCCCTGACCTGCTGGAGATGCCTGCCTTTCAGCCAGGGGGAAAAGGTCAGCCAAAAAATTGTGGAAAACTTCTAATTTTATAAACACAAGTGGCTGGCATTACACCATATTCTCAGGTGTTTTACAGACACACCTTGCCTGTGAGCTGCGAGTGAACCAGTTCATTATGGTGTGATCTGTCCGTAAGAAAAACGTCTTATCTCAAGCAAAACCAAACAAGAGGCTGCATGCTAGAGCATATGGAACATCTGTTTTTATTTAAAAAAAGAAAAGGAAAAAAATCTGAACTAGATGCAGACAATACTCATGTTTTCTAAAAAAAAACCGATTAAGCTGTGACAAACACTGTAAATAACTCATGCCATTACACCCTCTGAGCGTACCTTGGCTGTTCCTGCTGTTCTCTACATCTGGGCTGAGACTGGACTAAGCAAAAAACGCTGGGTTTTCTGGGACATCAGCAGGGGCCTGCAAGCAGGACAACACTGCACAGCACATTTTCCAAGGTCAATGTACTCAGTGGACACTGACATACATTATAATATACACTGCCACTCACTTAAAGACAGTGCTCAATGCTTTGTGATTCTTTGCCACTGCATCCTGTCTGTACACTAACACAGGGCATATTCCCATCTGCCTGGGGCAGTGCTGCAAACCATCTTTCTGATTATAGCTTTCCAAACATGTTGCCATTTGAATAAATCACAGCTCTGTTGCTCTTTCTTATTAAAACACTTTCTCGCCAAACACTGCTTACAACAAATGCACAAATCTGTTCGTCTTTGAATTCAGACCACTCCACAGACATCGTTATATGACCAAGTAAGAATCTGGTTCTATCATCTCATATTTTAACTTTTATACATCACTACTGCAACAGTAATGTAGGTTATATAAACAAGGAAAAATGCTTTAGGGGCCCTAAACAAATGTGTTCAATATGTCTTCAGTTCATATACTGCCTTACTGAAAACATGTTTAGTTTGCTTTAATGTCCAGGGAGGAAACAAATTAAAAGAGAATGCCAGCAGATGTCAGGCCATTTATGCCATGCTGAGAGGACATTTGCTTAGAAAATGCTGAAAAGGGATGACTCCTCTAGTCACGCAGGGAAAGAACTCAGGTCTTTGTTTCTTGACTATAACTTTAAGTGTATAAAAAAAATGTAACATCACCACATAGCAAACACAACTCACCCCATCTGTTAGCTGCAGGTTAAACACAAATATCCACACTAAAGCGTGTAGGCTTTTCCTACCATGTGTTGCTTTTTTTGTATTAGAACAAGATTCCTAGTGGACCAACTATACAGAGCTTCCCTTTCTGTATCACACAGGAGAGACTGAGAAAGGAAACACTATTAACCACCTTTAGCAAACACTTGTATCAAATGCATTTCTTTTTCTAAAAAACAACTAAAAAAAGAGCTGACAGTTAAGTAGCCTGATTCAGCTGTTGTATTCAATTTTTTACAAATTCATTAAATATTTTTAATAATTAACAAAAATGCCATAGAGTGAAGGTTGGGTGAACATTAAATGAGAGACAGCAGAACCAGATGGGTAATATTTTAGTATTTCTGAATAAAATGTTAAACAACAAAACACACCTGCTGTTTGACCGGCCCATCTGAACTGTTACTGAACTGACAAACACTGTTCAAGTCCACAGATCAACACCGGTCTTTGATAGCACTACAGGGCTACAGGACACAGCTTGCCTCTGTCTGCATCTGGCCCTGGAAAGCAGAAAATGTGATGTCATTAGCCGATATCATTTCATCCACCTATTTAGTCTATTCTCTATTGGCCACACCACATTAATGAATCCACCAGTTAAACATGCTAATGGGAAATCGCTACAGTTGTCAAAAGCTTGGCAGACCATGGATGAGGGAGTTGTAACAATTAACCTAAAACCAAGATCTGAATGGCTTTGAAACAGTCAGTGAGAAAGTCAAGCTGCCCACTGGAATGTCAAATATTAACAAAAGTCATTTAGCACTACAAAAAGACAAGTACAGACTGCAGTGGACAGTCAGGACTGCAGAAAAGATCATTGGTGTGAGTCTGCCCTCCATGGAGGACCTGTACACCTCACGGGTCAAAAGGAGGGCGGAGAGGATCACTGCAGACCCCTCACACCTGGGACACAATGTGTTTGAACTCCTCTCTGGACGGCGTTACAGGTCACTGTGCACTAAGACAACCAGGCACAGGGACAGTTTCTCCCCCCAGGCTGTCACTCTGATGAACACTTAACCCACGACAGTATGACTGGACAATAACCCTCAGTGCAATACCTGTAAATATACCTCATACAGATTATACAGACTCGTACAGGTCTCTAGGTCTTAAGTTCTCTGTTTTATCCCTATTTATCTCATTTCAATGAACATTCCTTTTTTACTGTCTGCATTGTTTACTGTCTGTTTATACTTGTACAATACAATGCTTTTTCTGCATTGTTTGCACTGTTTGTTGATGTTAATACTGCTATTTTGTTATATTACACCGCCTTATGCTGGTTTACTGTTTGCACATTGAGAGCCGATGTACCAGAGTCAAATTCCTCGTGTGTCCGTCACACCTGGCCAATAAAGCTGATT